CTTGGAAAAAGAAGATTGCATTTCCAATTTTCTTTAATCGTCTCTTCTAGCAATTGTGAGAAAAAAATGGGGCAATTCTCGAAATTAAAGCAGAGAGAAGAACGTAAGGTAATAATTACTCTGCGAATTCGCTCCAGTTTCCACAATAGAAATGTTATAATGTGGCCTCTATTGCAACAATAAGCGTTGATTCACATTATATACGACAAGGACATGACACGACACAATATTCTTCCATAAGTATTTGTCTTTACGTGTCATTGTGTTTCAATGCGAATACGTTTATATCTCATAGAAGAATACTTTGTCGTGTCGCATAATGTGAACCGACTTTAATATTGAAAGCTATTTATATCCCCAATATTCACCGTCAATAATAATAATAAAATATAAATGAAAGAGAGTAGTATTAAAATACATATCTGTTGCATTTATAATATTAAAAACTATCCTTCATATTCAAATATATTTTTAAAAAATAAGCTTCTGCGAGATAGAAATACATTTAACAACGCGAACAAAATATTAATCCTATAATGTCGGCTTAATGTATTAATTTCGATGATATATTATGGACAATGGTATAGTCTTCGGACTGAATTTCCGATATCAATAGCCATCTATTTTGCTTGTACCTATGCATACCATGACATTAACGCAAACCGACACCACAATGCATCAATAAGGCTGAGTCGTAGAAACGTGATATCTCTGGTTTGCATTTAATACCGCATAGTCATTATGATCACTGTACAGTTATCCTCGATCCCGTGTCCTGTACTCCCGTAGTATTCCTGCAATGTAACAGCGGAACGCACTTTACGCTTTCATCATAGGTGAATGTAATTAGCGTGTAATTCAAACTTTTTCCATGCGTTTCTGAAAACCGACGATAGATAACATATCCGTATATCAAGGATATTTAAAATGTATATATATATATATATATATATATATGAGATGCCATAAATTAAACTGTGATAATCTATATAAATGGTAATTAAAAATTCATATTATATATAAATGTGATAAGTGATAAAAACCGTGTGAGAATAAAATCAAAAAGAATAAAATTGAGCAGCTTCGATTTAATTACGAGAGAAAATAGTCACACGTAAAACTAATATCTATAATTAAACGCGCGGCTCGGAAGCGCGCTGCCTTAGCATAATCGAGACCGCAGCTCACCCTGTATCGACCAGGGCGATATTTCCCCCTCGCCAACGACGATATGTCGAGAGAGGAGAGAGAGAGAGAGAGAGCTTAGTTATATAACTTATCGGGTCTATCATACGCGCACACGGATACGCGGACGGTCCCGTGACCACATCGTGGATCGACGACCCCCGGGCTCGTAAATTCCACGTTCTGAGATGCAAATGGAACGCCGGGCGAAACTGCGGCCGGCCGTCCACCCTAGCCAAGCTACGAGTTTCGCGCGATCCGTACCGAATAATACAGATATACTTCAGTTAGTTTTTCGTCTCTCGTGAAACGCGAAAATCGTTTATTGTCGTAGCCGATTCCGTTTGCCAGTCCCGTAATGGACCGTGGAAACGATCGAGGGAAATATTTATTCGAAACTCCGAGCATGCGAACGAAAAGAGCGCTAAATCTGATAAGGAAATCTCGCAAACCGGGCGGTAATGAGATAAATTTAGAAATTTTCAGTTGCGGCTAAAAAACAATAACTATACATGTGTAAAGTTTTATCGAAATCAGAATTATCGGGTTCGCGAGGGTTCTCTTTGAGAAAAACGTCGCGATTTTCTAAATGTAGCACTAGAGTGATAACTTTATTTATCAGTCGATAAATTTATAATATATTTTTTAAATCTGCATAATTTACTTTCTTCTATCCCTAACTAGTAATAGATCGAAATTAATTGTTTTATAAAAATATAATATGTGCGTAAAATAATAATTGTGCACTTTGAGCTAGAAAAAAATACGATATTTGTCAAAATTAAAATATAAATTTTCAATATAGCATCTCAATATTGTAATAGCGACAATAGTATTCTATTGTTACAGACATAAGATTGTAACATATATAAAAGATGATCCGCAAACGATTGTAAAGAAATTGCATCCGAGAGTCGTCGACGCAAAGTTTCAGCATGTCAGAGTGCACATCCGGCGTCATACGAGATATTCGTATGACGCAGCGTGTATATACATCCCGGAAGTTTTCGCTAGCACGGGTAAGTCCGACGAACCTCAAAATATTTGTTCTCCTCGAGGAAGAAGCGATACCGCATCCGGCGACCAGAAATTGAATGGAATTCCCCGCGGTGGTTTTGCCAAGCGTATCTGGGTCGCCGGTCGGTCTGACCGGGCGGACGAAAACACGTTGATTCTTACCACTGTGAATCTGCGACAGCTGCATTCGTCGATAGATCTTCATATATAATCTACGCGCGGAGGGAAAGAAATGCTAATCCCGTCGTCGCGAATATCGACGTAAGAGAAATCATTCGGTTTCTCGTCAAAACGCATTATTCGGTTCGTTGGTCCTTCGAACACTCGCTATTCTACAAGTTGGATCGTTCACGCAAGAGTTCTTTCGTCGCCGCATCTTCACCAATTCGCCATCGTCGTCGAGTTTACACGAGTTGTCGTTTTCAATAATCGCTTCGCAGTCGATAGAAAGTCCGACGAGTACGATCGTTGCAGCATGTACCTTACCGCGTAAGTATACGAATCCCGCGCGATTGCACGGGACACGGAGAGATTGCTTAATTAAGGAAACCGCGAACAGGACCGGCTGGACTCGTGCACTCGGAAGCAAAGTTGACAGATTATTTACGTGCGGTTTATTTACCGTTAGTCCCCGCGCATCATCTTCTTTCTCGTTCGCCTCCCTTCGCGCACTTTACTACTCCGGCGATCGCAATATACGGAAAGAAGATCGAGTTGATTTATATTAGAGTCCAGCAGGTGATGGTTTGCGAGCGGATGATGCGTCCCTCCCCTTCTGGGTCTCACTAACCTCGCACCATCCTCGTAGTCGTTCCCTCAATCTCGCCTGGGTGAAACTATCGGCCGTACTCTCTTACTGCAGCGCCTCGTGATCGACCAGTCACCTCGCGAAGGAGCCGGCGTGCAGGAGCAACAGGAGTAACGCGAGCGTCCTCGTGGCCGCGCCGCTGTTGCTAGAATTCCCGTGCTGCATGGCCGCCGGATGCTCCCCTGAAACCCAAGAAAGCCGCATGCACATAAATTATTTTGCAGAGACGGAGACTAGGCGGTAGGGGATGCGGGGCGAATGGAAAATTTACATCCCTCGCCCGCGCGTTCGTTCTCTCTGCTCCTTGAGAAACTCGCATGCATGAGAAGAATGTACACAGCATGATCCATGAGACCTTGCCTTCATTTTAATCATGACTTCTTTGACAAATTTGAAATTGTGATAAATATGTTTTTTCTTATTATTAAATATTTCGATGATTAAAAGGCGAATGAAAAATAAATCGAGAAAATATATCAACTTGAAATTAAATAAACTTCAGTGGTGAAGTGAATTGATTTAACCGCATTTAATTGTGCAGTATTCATATCATTATCGAGAGCGTTATATTAGAATAGATTTCCGCATGGGTATGATAATCAAAGCCATACTAACGTTTATTAGAATAATCACGAATAATTAACCACGATTGCGCGAAATTAACAACACATTAGCTCTTGTACATTAATTATTTTCTCTATTACAAATACATAAATATTTGAGTAAAGCATATACATGGAATTTTGTATCTATATATTTGTTTTACAAATTGTACTACAATTAGTAATAAACAAAAGGATGTGTGTGGCTGATTATTGATCAATTTAAACATTTACAATTAATATCTATCGAATTACTATATCAATCTCAGAATAAGTTCATCGTTCGTGAAATGGGTCAATAGATTCAATAGTAATTAAATTTTAACCGCGCGACGTAAGATATAAGTGAAATAACAATGATAGCGTAGCGACATAAAAAACTGGAGATTCCACTCACAGATATTCGCTTGCGCTTTCGCAGACGTAAGGCCAAATGTTCGCCCGAGGGCGAAGACGAAATCTCCGTCGCGCCGCGTATCGATTTCAGATAAATCAAATATTCAAGCGGACATTTACGTTAGATATTGCAATAGCGTTACTGTTTGTCCTCGAATGGCTCGCAAGAAACAGCGAGATTCCTGAGAAACTGCGATTCCGACTAAATGTTGACGCCAGCGGCGCTTCCGCGTCGCGTCTCGCAAGAGTTTCCAGTAACCAAGTTGCATTGATACGAGCGCATTCGGCGTAACGACGTAACCGTGAGTCGTGCATATCCGACGCGTTACAACTACCATCCGTGAACTGAACTCACCGAGACGAGGAGAAGTAGGGAGCTATAACAACGGATCCATGGAGAACCTTACGCGAGAACCCTCAGGTGCTGTACCAGTAATCACTTATCGGTCGCTCCAAGTTGCCGTCGAAACTACGAGAGTTCTTCTCGTAGTTCTTAGAGAGTACGTAACGTAAGTGTTCTTATTCGGCCACGATACCGAAGTTATTATTAATTCAACGTGTTGCGCTGGTATCGCGAAACTTCATTATCGCAGTGTACGTTTCCAAGCACGCGAGATACTCGAGTGCGTTACATTTATGCAGTTTCTTAATAATATCTAATTGCGACTGCATAGAGTTTCTCCTTGCACTGCACGGGCAATTAATTATACCACCGCGATAAGTTTTTTCATTAAGATTGTTATTAATCAAATTAAACATTATTTAATAAGAAATATATATCGCGTCGATTGATTCGAGAGAGAAAATTATGAGAAAAATGTAACATTAAATATTCGATCTAAAAAATAGAATAACTTTTCTGATAATATTTTTAATGTTTTTTTTATATTTTCTAATGTTTTTTAAATCAATTTTTAAAGCACAATCTCTATATTATAAAAATACTGCAAAATCAAATATTGTAATAAATCTTCAGATATCGTGCACGCGAAGCGTATTTTTCTTTGACAAGAAATTTTCCAAACAATTTTATCCGTAGCTATCTACGCAACCGCTTGTCCTACGCCGATCGAGTTCGAGAGGATATACTAAAACCCGAGACTGGAGATGGATGCAAGACGTCGCGCTAGAAGATCAATGAAAAAGTATCAAGCGCGCGCGTTCACTTGAGCGAAAAGGTCGAATTTCTTTCGACCCCAACAGTGTACCTACCTACCCGCAATTCTTCCCTCCCTCTTTTCTGCGCGTATCCATTCGACGGGATGGATTTCTGCGCTGAAACGTATTTTTTTTTCCCCCCTCCGCCCCGACGTCCGTCTGGAGCGCGAGCTAATTTACGACTCGCAATTCGACGAACGACTGCGCGGCCGCAAAAAGCGCTCATTTTTCAGCGAAAACGAGCATCAGCGTCTCGGGGAAAAAAAAGAAAGTAAGAGAGAGAGAGAAAGGGAAGGTAAAGGGGGCGATGGAAAGAGGAAAAAGATGCGAGTGAGCGACTCGCGAAGCGGCGACCCGCGGAAGTAAATCGACAGCAACGGGGATAAAACTGCTCGGGGCTTTTCGATGGAAAGCGGCATCGACGATACGTTCTACGCCCTTAGAAGACGCTGATGTAACGCAGCACCGGCGCTGAGTGCTTACATAAGTTCAAACACAAAATGCACGGCGCGTTGCGGTGAGGTGGAGTTGTATTTAGGATTTTAATTTATTATACAAGGGGGTGTATATATAGAGTTACATCGTCCATTTATCTTCTTCTTACTACTCTACAAATAAATGATCTCTTTTCTACCTTCTCTGGAGCTTTCCTTTAAAAGCATCACGATAAACACTCATTAAATGTGATGAAAATATAATTTCGTGCAATAACTCGGCATTAATAAAAAGCTATAACTATACGAAAATTATTATGTATTACTTTTCAGAATAATTATTTGCATATAATAGTTCTCTTCCCAAATTTTTTTTATTATTGATTATATTGGAAGTAAAATATTAAATAAATACAATAGCCTACATTTTCAAAAGAATTAAATAAAAGGCAAATTATTTTTTTTTTTTTTTTTTTTTTTTTGCAATCCATACACCGCAATTTTGCATCGCGGATATGCTAATAGTGCGTTTTAATATTAACAAGCGTAATCGTCGCCGCGCGTACTCACGGACGCGAGACAGATAAACAAATAAAGCACAGCGGAAATCGACAGAGATAAATACGTTTTAAAATTGCACGAAACTCGAACGAGACATCATGTGTACGCGGAATAGCAAAATAGCGAATCTCCAACAGCAGTCTCGATAATGTTTTCGATTGCGGAGTATAAAAAATACGAACCGTCTCGAATAACAGGAGCGAATATCGATGGATCAAAAAAATCTGTTAAAATTGTTACAAGCAACAATTCCCTGAATATGTCAAAAAAAAAACCCCGATCGCTGTTCGAAATTATTTTAAATTATCTCATTCCTGACTTTTATTTATGTGTGCCACCGTCGCGCCCAGTTACGTAACATTACCCTATATGTAATATTGGCCGAGCTCTTGAATCAACGTTAGTAACAACGGATAACGCGGCTGACGTTGATAGATTAACCCGCGGACGACGCTAATCGGGAAGAGAAAAGCTAATCTCGATATCAATGACGACGCAATCCGCATGCTTGCGAATTCCCGGCTCGCAGAATGACATCGCAAAAATTCTTTCTCTCTCTCTCTCTCTCTCTTTCTCTCTTCACGTACGCACCAATTGTGAGATTCGCGTAATCATATACGCGCATCCACAAATCCGATTTCGCAACTTTTGACTTTGACGTTTGCGCAGCCGGATTCGTTGGACCGTAAATCAAATGCGTGTAACAGAAATATATCGTGTATGTTTTTCGGTCACTTGCACATCGTTTGGAGTTAGTCTTTTTAGGACAAATGCGTTTTATACAAATAATAAAATAAATACTGTATAAAATCGCCGGAAATCTTATTATTTTTGTTACGAAATAGAATGTGTTTTGCTACCACAATACACAGATGCAATTATCGTTCAGCTACAGCGAGCAGTGTTAAGTTGAATATCTAATGTGTAATACTATAGATAGTTAAACTTTAATCCTTTCATCAAATGGACTTTTGTCTGTAAATTAGAATAAATTAAACAACCGTAATCTATAGAATATTTCCTAAAATTTATACAGATATTCAAGAGTACTTTTCATGAATTTAAATCTTTGTAAAATTTACAACGCAATCATATAAAGTACCTTATATCAGATGCATTGCAACGCGAACAATCGATTATACGGCCATAATAATCGATCAAAAAAATAATCTTCGACATCTAAAATAATCGAGTTTCGGGCAAACATTCGATCGAATTCGATTAATCGCGAGATTGGCAATTTACCGGCGCTATTTGCGGCCGTATTAACGGCCCTATGTGTGCCCGGATATTCAAAGGCTAGACTCGGAGATGTATGGTACCAATTAGCAAATCAGTTGTCGTCAATGTTTACTCGTGACTGATGAAGGCAGTGATCTCGCCGACGGTGGCGCATGTGAATCTGACGTAATGGCGAAATCAAGCAACCGAAAATTTTCGGTGAAATCGCGCACAGCCAGCGAAATTCTACATTTTAAGTCAGCCGTTTTAGCTGCGCGCAAGCGAAATGGCGTGATTTCATTATACGACACTTGCATTGTCTCTCATACGTGAAATATGTAACCATCGGTTAAATGGATTCGGTTATGCGAGAACAGGCTAAACAACATTTACCAGAAATTGCAGGAAAGTTACTGTAAAACTCGATAAAATTTCGATTAAAAGACATAATGTGCCAACATTCCAACCGCAAAATAATGTTTTATACATTTTTGAATAACATTAATTATATGCTTTTTGAAATTACCTTGGCACGGTCAGCTTTATTTGTAGACATAATCATCGCGTAAAAATTTCACGTCAATGTGCAATTTACATTAAATATTTTTACATTAATGAAAATTGCTTGCGTCGCGCACAAACGCGTGAATTAATTTCTCAAAAATTACTATTCAGTATTCCGAGTAATAAAAAAGTGTAATCAAAGCACGTGCTCGTGTTATCACAGGAATATCGTCGGTCGGACGAATACATCGATCGTCTCTCGCACAGCACAGCGCTAAGAATTTCTCTTAATCGCCACATACTGTT